AAGCCAATCAACAACAAAGGAAAGCAAGTAAACCACTAAAACAAAGATTCAAACAAACAGAAACTTCAAAGGCTATGAAAATTTACAATATTATTAGGAATATCTCTTTTAAATTTTCAATGTCTACTCTCATACATGATTAATCAATGAATATGATGAATAAGATTGCCAACATAATGATAATTATTCTTGAAATTCTCAAGTTCCTTTCATGCCAACTATGATAATCTTTAACTATCAAAGCAAATAAATGAAATCTTTTTTGAATTTTATAATAGATTTTATCAAAACTGTATAAAACTTGAAACATATTTGGAGGAGCTATAAAAAAATAATAATAAGACAGCACTTATTGAGAAGATAATGAGAGAAAGTGCATTAAAAGAAAAGATGAGCACAAGAATCAAACTGATTACCACAAAGAACACTTATAATATTAATATTCATACCTCTAAGAGAATGAATATCACGAGTCGTTAAACCATTATGAATAATTTTCCAATTATGAATAGCATATTTTATGAAATGTCCTTTGAACCAAATAAGTTTAAACCAATCAACCCAAAATAGGAGATTACATAAAAACATAGATAAAAATGACATGTGAGGGTTTCTTTTGGGATATCAACTACTGAGATGTTGATGGATCACATTGTTTTTTACACTTCAACTTAGATATACATGTATATGATTCATGTGAGATGATGTAAGAATTGTCTGTGATGGTTTGTTGGAAGTATATGGAGAATTCATTCCCTTTGTCTAAATTATTTGAATGACAAATTTTCTTTTGTTTAGGAAGCATATGGAGTCTCAAAGTGGCTTATAAGTTGGAAAATATGGGGTAAGGGCAATGATGTAAAACTACATTCATGCTCATATAGTTGAAACTTTTAGACCAATAATTGATTAGTAGTTGTCCTTCTCACTTCTTTAGGTTGTTGGTAGCTTCAACCCCAGCTCTGAAAGACTTGTGAACTACTTCTTTATAACATCAGTAACTGGAAAGTTGGAAATTACAATATTACAAAAAAAAATCATATACAAAAACATCACATTGCATACACATGACACATACGGTTGAGGATTCTTACCTTTTACATGTTCGCTTGTCAAACAACTAATAATGATTAATAGTTGCCCAACCTTAAGAGGTGTTTTGTTCGTGACTCCTATTTAATATTGATATAGAGACTTCAATGTCTCCGTTGCTTGTGGGATTATGATGGATGAGTTTATAACTGAGCCCATCCCCAACTTAACTTCTTGTACCCCATTTTGATTTTTCATATGCCTATCACTTGACTCTTTTATGAGAATATGCATGCTCCAGTTTTCATATTTAAATTTTAAATGTTTTTCGAACCCTTTTCTCTTATATATATATATATATATATAGATACACACACACACACACACACACACACACACACTTGTACTATATAACGGTAATTTGTTTTAAAGCATTATCATAGGCGGCAGGTACACCTTTTCTCTTTTATTGCACTTTACTGTACATATTTGTTTATAATTGTATTATTATTACTGATGTTGCTTGTTATTTCTTTTCTGGCATATTTTTATATAACTCTAGAGTAGCAAACATAGGACATGTTTAGCATTGGAACCTTGTAGCACATAACCAAAATACACCTTTTAATCTAACATCTTTCAAAACTTCATAACAAAAAATACAAAACCACAAATAATGTTTTTAAACTTCAATAAACTAATAATAACATAATAATAATACATCTTTTTTAGATTTACGAGAGACTCTCAGATGAGATAAATCACGGTTGCTAACGATAATTCTCTGGTCTAAATGAGTTTACAACTTATTTGGACTAAGTAAATCCAAAATTAACAGTGATGCTGGGATGATGGAACTGTGGAATCTTAACCGGTGTCGCTTAACATAAAATAAAATCTCCCTTTTTTTCTTTAACAACAACAAACACCAATTTAAAACACATTGTACGAGAACACATTAAATATCTGAAATAAGTTGTTAAATATATGTTCTCTCTCCTCTCTTTTATTTTCTCAGAACAAGACAACGATGCAGTCAAGTGGCGATTCAACTCCAGGCAGTGGTCGAGACGATAACAAAAAGTGGAAGAAGGAGCCTCAATTTGAATGTTTCATAGATTTAAATAATATACACTCTTAGGACTTCGAGGTTTTTTGTCTAGCACGACATAAATCCTCACGCTATCTTTCAGGCTTTTGTAAGATCGTATATCATGCGATATAAATCCTAAACTCATTTTAGGATTCCAAGGTTATTTGTTTAGTACGACGTAAACCCTTTTACTTTCCCAGCTATTTGCACGATCAGATATCGTTTGAATGTGAGTCATAAATTTTAAATAAACTACAGGATTAAAACATTAAATAACTTCCCTTTCTGATTTTTGCATGATTATATCGTTTCCTCTCTTCCATCTTACTGAAGCTTCTTCGGTATCTTTGACCTCTCCTACTATTCACTTCTTTGGATTCCGAGAACATTTGTTTCACATCAAGCGATTCCCATTTGACTTTCCTATTACCAATCATGGAAACAAAAGGTCAGTACATACCTACAACGCTATTTAGAGATATTATGAATATGAAAGCTAGTTCTTTTTTTCGTGATTAATGGTGTGTAAATCTTCATTTGCAAGGGGACCCTATTTATTTATTTTTTCTGCTATAGGTTATAGATTGATTAGCACGGTAGGTTCAACCGCTAACAGCCAGTTGAAAATTCAACAGCTAACTTTTGCGGCTGAATAGATTGTCACTAGTCAGTTTTAAATTTAACGATCGGTTCTTTCAGTCGAAATTATTTTGACAACCGAATATTCATATGCTAATCAGTCGTTCAACTACAGCGGTTAAACTATTCCATCTTTAACCCATAGCAGCTAAATTAATCAACTGCTACTATTTTTCCAACAACTTTTCCCGACCGATATAAATCAGTTTCTAATCTAGTTTACCCGCTAAAATTGCTGATTACCAATTAATTTTTCAGCCAGTAATCAGTGACTTTCCTGTATAACAATCCTAGTTCATGCAGTCTAACATGAACCATATAATAGAGTTATTAACGGAGTATTTATAAACACTTGCTATCATGACAAATGATGCGGATAAGTAATGTTATGCTCAAAATTGTTGTCTAACATATTACTTTCTATTGAGAGCACAATCCTACACATCAAAGTCTGAAGCATTAAAGCGGTCAATTAGAAGCCTAGGGTAAATATGACAAGGCAAATAAAAAGTTCGAAGCTTTTCCACCTCACTGTTTTTTGCATGATTATATCGTTTCCTCTCTTCCATCTTAATTGAAGTGCTTATACCAAAAATGCAAAGCAATTCTATATTCATGTAAAATTTAAACCTTACTTTGACAAATTATCTAAAATTACCTCGACATATCATAAAAATCAAAAGTCACATATGCAATTATGAAATTAACTTTTGACATATTGTGATTTGATGTACATCATTATTAACATCAGATTAAATGATTATTTGTATTGTTGAGTATTATGGAGTCCGATCCACTTTCTTAACTTGAATTGGTTGTTTCTGCATTTTATGGGAATTACCGGAATTGTTTTTTTTTCTTTATTTTAATCTCTTCTTCTGGTTTAGAAAAGTCATGACTCGCGCATCTTTCATTTCTCGTATCCCGCTTCTTCGGTCTCCTGGAGCTTGCCTGTTCTCGCGATAAAAGGGCACGCCCTCTAGCTATTCACACACGGTATTTGACTCTGTTTGAAGAAAGAAGAAGTTCCGAGTGACGAAAGGAAGGAGTTCCGAACGACGGAGGTGTTCCGAGCGGCAGAAGGAGTCCGAAGCGGCTAAAGCAACCGCGAGCAGCAGAACCAGAAAAAGTCAGGGGCAACTAAACAGAGGAAGAACATAACTAGGAAAGTGGAGTCAGTGTCTACTATCTCTGTTAAGAAACAGTGTAATCCTTAAAATAATAAAATCTTCTGTAACTTCGTTAAAATAAGCAATTTATCAAATCACGTAAATCTGTGTATCTTGTATGATCCTCTTGTCTATGTTCTTCGCTTTATCATCAATCATTTTTCACAATGCAGCTCGAATAAAAGATAGACGACATAAATTTCTTACTTAAAAGATGTATGTATGAATTAATTATTTATTATTGATCCATCAATTTCTTCTGGTTCGGAAAAGTCATGACTCGCGCATCTTTCCTTTCCCGTATCCCGCTTCTCCGGACTCCTGGAGCCCGCTTGTTCTCGAGATAAAAGGGCACGCCCTTTAGCTATTCACACATTGTATTTGACTTTGTTTGAAGAAAGAAGAAGTTCTGAGTGACGAAAGGAAGGAGTTCCGAACGACGAAGGTGTTCTGAGCAGCAGAAGGAGTCCCAAGAGGCTAAAGCAACCGCGAGCAGTAGAATCAGAACAAGTCAAGGGCAACAAAACAAAGGAAGAACATAACTAGGAAAGTGGAGCCAGTGTTAAGAAACTGTGTAATCCTCAAAACAATAAAATCCTCTGCAACTCCGTTAACGTGAATAATTTGTCGAATCACGTAAATCTGTATATCTTATATGATCCTCTTGTTTATGTTCTTCGTTTTATCATCAATTATCTTTCACAATGCAGCTCGAATAAAAGATAGAGGACATAAATTTCTTACTTAAAAGATCTATGTATGAATTAATTATTTATTATTGATCCATCAAATAACATGTGCTTTATAATACTACATATCTAAAACTTCTCATGCCTTCTAATCCTCTCCTCTCCTCTCACCTAAATTTGAGACAAGCCACGTGAAAAATATTCATCAATCATCTATTTATGTATAAATTATAATCAATATATTAATTTCAAAGCAATAAATGCATGCCAAACGATCCGCTTCTGAATCGACGTCATCAATGGACCGCTCAAAACACTTATGGCCGTTCAAATAACATAATGTTCAAGTCTCCATCTTCAATAACTCTTCTAATCCAAACAACATGTTAACGTAGAGAAATGAAACACCAAATTGATCCAACACGCTTTCCTCATTTCCCTTAAAACATCAAAAAGAGAACTCACCTTCTCCTCAACTTCGATGCCATGGCAAATCTCTGTGTCTTCTTCTTCTTTCCCCTGTTCTCTTCCTTATTATCATCAGTATCTGCTTCATTTTCTTCTTCTTGTTACTGTCCTATATCAGCAGGATCGAAAGATGAGTTTAAGAACCTCACGGCAATGAGGATTCATAATAGGAGGATTTTAGCAGATTGTATTGATCCAAATCCATATCTGTTTATTACTGCGAGCGCCAAAGGGCCATTGGCTGATGAGACTAATGTTACGGTGACGGTGGGTGGAGTGTTGTTCCCTGATGAATCAGATTGGATAGCCATGATTACGCCATCAAATGCAGAGTATTTATTTATATATATATATATATAGAAAGTGATATTTAATGATTTTGTTGATTATTTTATACTGATTAAAGTGTATTTTAATGTGTTTTTATGTTTAATTTTGACCTGCAGAATATCAAGTTGTCCTCTGAACAGTTTGTATTATGTACAAACCGGAGATATTAGCTGTCTTCCTCTTCTTTGCCACTATCCTGTCAAGGTGAAGTACGTAAATCCAATATGCTATTTTGGCTTGTTTAATTCACGGGGCATCTTATATTTACATATTTAAGAGCTAAATTTTACTTTTTTTACATTTATAATATGAAATATATCATTTTCTTACTTTTAAAATGTAAAATATTTTTTTATGTAAGGATAAAGTGTCATATATATATATATATATATATAGATATATATATCATATATATATATATGTATATATATAGGTGATAGATATATAAATACAGAGAAATTACATGGTATGCATGCAAATCTTCCTCAAGTTATTTATACAACTAATGTAAAAATTAGGTGATAGATATATAAATACGGAGAAATTACATGGTATGTATGGAAGTCTTCCTCAAGTTATTTATACAACTAATGTAAAAATTTTATGTAAAAATTTTCTTAAAATTTGTCATTCTATACTTGATTTTATGAAGGTATAAGCTCAGTTATATGTCATGATTTTTTTATTTTTATCATCATAAATATGACAAAAATGAACAATGCATTAACAGTACTAAAAAGAAATCTGTTTTACTTTTATACAATCAATCAAATGCAGATTGTGAGAAATTAAGAGAAAACTACCGCATTAATTATTTTTTTAGATAGTATTAAAAATAATTATATTTTAATGAAGATTGTTAAGAATTCAAAATGTTCACATTTTCAACAATAAATGCAATGACCAGAAACGTTTGTTGGCATGATTGTATCACATCGCACTCATTCTACTTGCTTTCGTCGGAAGCAAAATATTGGAGAATATTTCCAGGATATTCTTCACTTGAAAAGGTGCCATGGAAAAAGAAGGAAGCTCTCTTCTTTTCTATTTGGAGTGATGAAGACTCAAATAGAAAAATATTTACGTACGGAGTATGCATGTTCTTATGCGTGCGTAAAGAGGTTATTCGGGAGGCATTTGAGGGTTATGTCGGTGTTATTGGGGTTAATACCCTCAATAACCTGACAAAGCTTCCAAATAAAAAAAAATAAAAAAAAAAAGCGTGGATCTGTGAAATGTATTGTTAGGTTATTGAAGAGTATTAACTCCAATAACCTCTCAATAACCCCCAATAACGAAGTTATTAGAAAGTTTTTTGGGGCAGTACGCACGCAGAATTGTATGTGTACTCCGTACGTAAATAACGCTTCTCAAATAGGGGTATTAATCAACATATAAAATTTTGTACTCATAAAATATTTTTAGTAGTGTAATCACATTAATATTTATGTATATAACTAAACTAATGTATTTCTCTTTAAGAAAATACTAGTAATATGTCTGATGTAATATTAAAGTTTCACTTGTTATAAATAAATATTAAAATTTGAAGTATTAGTTAAATATATTCTTAAATATTAAAGTTTTGGCAGTTAAATTCATTGATTTGAAAATTTAATATTAAATCAACATATAACAAATAAATAAATCATAGGTGTTGTTATTAACAGGCCCAATATGTGAGCAGTGATCCTTCTTATCTGAACTGTGGAAAGAAGAAATGTGAAGTTTATGAAAATGATGAATGTCTGGTGCACAGTTGCAGCGCATCAATCACATTTCATGTTGTAAATTTCAGAACAGATATAGAGTTTGTATTCTTCTCCGGAGGCTTCGCCACTCCTTGCATTCTCAAGCGGTCGGATCCAATAAGTTTTGCTAATCCCAACCAGCCTTTGTATGGTCATCTCTCAAGCATTGACTCGACTGCAACAAAGGTATTTCTTCGTTGTTTTTTATGGAAAGTAATTTCTTATTTCTTGTTGATTAGTGTTTAGTTAATTTTTTATATATCATAGATGAGGGTAACATGGGTTAGTGGAGATGAGAACACTCAGGTAGTAGAATATGGACAAGGGAGATCATCAAGTTCTCGGGTGTCAACATTCAAACAGGATGATATGTGTAGTAAGTTGCCTTGCAAATAAACATTAATATTATTAAATTAATTCTATGATATTTTTGCTTTCTCTCTCGCTCTCTCTCGTTGGAGAAAACATTATATTAAGACTCCTCACGTAATTTGCGTATGAAGTCCAATAGTGGGGTGTCACATGTCAAGTGGGCCCACTTAACACGCGACGCCTCATCATTGGACTTCAGATATATGTAGAGTCCTGATCTAATATGTTTTCCTCTCGCTGACACATACACACACACTCCTCAGTTAAAAAAAAAAAAAATGCTATCTTGATATATCAATACGAAGCATAATATTGATCCAATGCATAAGAAAGCTTGCAAGGCATGTTAATCTTATAATCCGCATTTTACTAATTTGGATTGCATAAGTGTAACAAACCGTTTCTTATTTGATTAATATTTGGGTTTGTATTGCTTTATTTAATCTTTGTTGTGATTGCTAAATTTCTATTTCATCGGGCACTAAATTTTATGTAACATATGAATGTCAAAATACTAGAAAATGTCAAAATTAAATGTTAGTTATCATTTGTTATGTTCATGAATTCGTTCACCATTAGCATCTTTAGGTTGTGCAATTCCTTTCTTTCTAAGAAAATATCATATTAATTGTTCCCAATCACATGTTGACTCAAAGTCATTTTGCCTTCATATAATGCCATATTTATCAATAATGTCACATCTTATGCTAGTTCATCTTATCTCATCAATACGGCTAGAAAAGAGAGTTTAGCTTTAAAAATCATAACAAACTTCATTATTCATATACTTTTATTCCTAAAATCAATCGTGGTTTCATTATTGGTTGGCTATCACTCATTGTTGGATCTCCCTTGCCAAATTTGCCATCAAATATATGATTTCATTCTGTTTTATATGTAGAATACTCTCCCTAATTTCCAAATAATTGCAAGAATTAGTGATGAAATGTCCTTAAAATAGTACAACATTTGGGTAAAACTTCCGAGTTACACTTGGATCGTTCCAGAAAACTCAGTCCAAATCATCAAAAGTATGTTAAATCAATTGTAATATCAAAACTTCCCATTCAAGCTCCCAAAAAATAAAACTGGCTCGGGTCACAGTGTTTGTCATGCCTAGGGGTGTAAATGAATCGAACACGAACGAACAGAGCTTGTGTTCGTGTTCGGTTCGTTTGAAATTTAATTTGTTTAAAATTGTTGTTCGTGAAGTCACTGTTTGTATTCGTTTCTTAATGAACGAGCCGAACACGAGCCAAACACGAGTTGTTTGTAAACGACGAGCCAGTTTGACATCCCTAATATTAATATATAATATTATATTATTATCATTAATTTATTATATATATAATTATTTAAATTATTTTATATTTCGAACAATAACGATTCGAACACGAACGAAAGCATCATTGTTCGTGTTTGATTCGTTTAACTAATTGAACGAAAAAAATTTGTTCGCATTCGTCTCGTTTACTATAGAATGAATCGAATACGAACTTATTGACGAGTTGACTAATCGAACACGAACTGCTTGCGAACAATGAGCTTTTTTGACAGCCCTACTCATGCCTGGTCAGCTCCAAAGTCTTGTAGAAATTGCTTATATTTTATTAAATCTACAACTTAATCTTTTTTATTTGAACTGGTACTGGGTTATTATTTTTTTAGCATTAGTTATTCTTATTTTTTTTTTTTAAATCTATATTTTAAATTTTCTTGTTCACAAAAGTCATTCAATTTTATTTTTTTTAAATATATATTTTAAATTTTCTTGTTCACAAAAGTCATTCAATCCTTTCACACAAATAATATTAGGGATATTTACATACATAAAACCTAGTTCATATTAATGTGAGGCAGAAGATTCACGGCGGCACACAATCATGTAATTAAAGTGACAATTAGCGACACCAAAAATTTTTTCGTGAGCTGAAAAAAGAAAAAGACCACATAACCTAGCCCAGTTGAAACAATTCATTATGTAATGATGAGTACACAAACCCGCTATTTTCCCGAATTAGCGAAAATGAAATTACAGAGTTGATGTACAAAGGTATTTCAACAATAAGTCATAACATGCTACAAAGACCAAAGTCAATTGTTATGGAGACAATAGTTCATCGTTAATGTTGCAAATGATGGTTGTAATGTCAGCTTGTCGTGGAAACCATAATTGAAAGTCATTGTAGTAGTTGGTCATGTGAGTCATAGATTGTTACTCCAGAAGTGTCGGTTGACCACAAAGACTATTGTTGGTAGATGAAATAACATGCGTAGGTCATATAGATTGGAGTTGGGAGCTACATGAGCTGTGAGCTGCGAGGTCGTAGTTGATCACATGGCCATAGTGGGGAGCTGTAATAACGTACATAAGCTGCAGATGACATTTTTGGGTGCTACATGAATTGTGATAACGTTAGCATGCCACAAAAGTACTAGTTGGGAATTGCAAGAGCTGTGATAATATTTGTAAGCCAAAGATGCAAGAATTGTGAGCTAGATGAGTTTTCATAACGTCCATAAGACACATAGGTCAGAGTTAGGAGCAGCATGAGCTGTGATAACTTTTGCATGCCTAAGTGACCAGAGTTGGGAGCTGCATGAATTATGAATCACATAGATCGTAGTTGGTAACATAGCTCGTAGTGGTGGCTGCAAGGAAGAGTTTCAAGAGCCCAAAGAAAGTCACAATATCTTGAGTATGATGGTTGAAAGCAGTTGTTGCAGGTTGCATTGTTACACCGTCTTCGAAAAACAACATGGCATCATATGCGAAGGGAGAAATTACACTATATTTTGGGTGTGTTATTATGTCGCCTTCATGGTGCATCTTTACACTATCTTTGGGGCGTGTTGCAACACTGTAAGTGGGGTGCGCGTTGCACCATTTTTGGGGTGTTGTTACACCATCTTTGAGGCGTATTGTCACACTGTATGAAGTGTGCAATGTTGCACTATATGTGAGGCAAATCGTTGCATCATATTGTGGGTGCATTGTTACACCATATTTGATGTGCATTATTACACCTTCTTCGGGATATGTTGCTATTTAAGAAGCTTCATTATTCAACAAGGTCGGTCATTACTCTACATAGTGCTTCCTTACTTCACAATGTATGTCATGATCTCCTTTGTAAGGGGCTTCATTGCAACAAGCAGAGGGGTTGATGGCGATTGACGGAGATTGGCGAGCGGTGATAAACGGTGATCAACAGCTCTATAAGTAGGTGGCATTCATTGGATTTCCACTGTAGAACATTGGACATCAACTCCTTCTCCTCCAAGCTCTGATCTTCCTCTAGCTCCCACTCCAGGTCTCCGTTTCAAGAATGGAGTAGGACTTTTTTATAGAGTCTAAGAGCAGCCTTTCTGCGAATAGGAAATAAATAAAAACCACTTTATGGGATGTCCCAAAAAGATTCCCTCGATCGAACGACATTCTGTGGGCATTTGAGTGTCATAACAATATCAAAATTGAGTGATCTTAGGCTCGTTGGATTGGTCTTGTGCTATAACAATATTAAAATTGAGTGATTTTAGGCTCGTCAGATTTGAAATTTATTTGACATTCCAATTAAAAACCACCAAAAGCTTTTAAAAATAGTATAACAGCTTGATTTGGGACCAATCTGACTTGGATTGGATCAATTCTAGCTTCATTGAGTCCCTCTCGTCGAGCCGGTCAGTTTGACTATAAGTTTGTTGAAATTAAACGACTGGATAATTTTTAATTTAAATTTGAGTGTTTCTCAAACGACTGGATAATTTTTAATTTAAATTTGAGTGTTTCTCATTCGAAAATATTATGAGATTCGTGCCACGCTTTCAGATTCATGCAAGATGATAAAAGTTTTTTTCATGACGTATCAGATTACATATCTTAAGCATAAATTTACTTTATTTCTTTGTCAAAACACTCATGATAAATGATAAAAGTTTTTTTCATGATAAATGTTAATCACATTACATATCTTAAGCATAAATTTACTTTATTTCTTAATGTCAAAACACTCAGATTTTTCATATTAATATCAAAACACTCAGATTTTTCATATAATATAAAAAATATTGTTATTTTAACTTAAAAAAATAGAATACACATACATACATACATTCATATATATACATAGATACATATACATACATACATACATACATATATATATATATATATACATACTACATATATATATATATATGTCAAAATTTAAATGAAATTCTTTTTATATATATAAGAAATTTTATTTTTTGTTTAAATAGGTGGTATATTGCCTAGCCCAGCAAAGGATTTTGGATGGCACGAACCTGGATACATTCATACCGCTGTAATGAATGGGCTCCTACCCAATCAAACCTACTCATATAGATATGGAAGGTAACAATTTATATCTCTTTATTAAGTTTATTACTTTAATTAATCATGTTTTTGTGATATTTCCTAAACACGAGTTAATTAATTATTATAATTTTAAATCTAATGACGATTAGATGTATTTTAATGACCTTAGATTTATTTTAATTCAATTTTTCTTCATTATTAGAAAATTAAGTTAGATTATGTCGATAAGGAAAGTTTTAAGTTTATGAAAATATGAATGTAATGATTATTAATTTTATTTTAAAAATTTTAATATTCACTTAATTGCTATGAGAGATAAGATTTAGAATTTAAGATTAGTCTTCCACTTACTTTATATATAATGAATATTTGATTGAACTTTAGCTATTTAACTACGTATTTACATACCTAACACCTAAAACTTATGTTACATTTATACCACCCAAATTTTCACATCATATTAAAAATATCACTATGTTAACTTTTGAACAGTGAAATACAACTTCTCGTGCATAATTAAGATGACATATACATGTAAAAATTAATGTTCAAATATTAGATATGTAAATACATACAAATTAAGTGGTATGTACGTAAATCTTCCTTAAGATTTTGATAGTGTTAAAAATGAAAAAAAATGTAACATATATTTTCACAGCGATTTAGCTGGCTGGAGTGAGCAAATTAAATTCAAGACACCACCAGCTAGTGGGTCAAATGAACTAAAGTTTCTTGCTTATGGTGATATGGGCAAAGCACCACTTGATCCATCAATGGAACATTATATTCAGGTAATTTATATAGTTGTTTTCTATTATCTTAGGGTCTGTTTGGGGCAGCTGCAGCTTATTGAATAATCTGCTGATAAGTTAGGTACGATGGTTATTATAAATTTTTATTTTTTTTAAAAAATAAAATCACTGTCAAAAAGCTTCCACCGCATCTAGATATGTGCGGTGTGAAAACGCGCCAGCATTTTGAAAAAGCATAAACTACCAAAACGCAGTTTACCTAAACAAGTCAGGTGCGTTTTCAAAATGCATCTGCACCAAATAAGCTGCCCCGAACGGGCCCTTAATCTTTATGGAGAATTTTTTTTTAATTATTGAAAAGGTATTTGTATGATGTATAAAGTGATGCACAATATAAAGCATTTATTTATAAAATTATAAAACATGGACATAAAAATGAACATTCCAAGGAAATATTTTATAGAAATTTTTTTCTTTCTTCCTACCCCGTCCTAGTTTAATTAGTTTCTCGTTTCAACTAAGTGGTATTTGAGCGTGTCAGTTTCATTTCTACAAAGATGACGAACAATTGTATGATCTCCTTTCAAGTTTTGCTGGACAAGACAAGAGACTACGATAGTTAGAATAAAAAAATGAAGGCGCGCGCTTAATGTTTGAAAGGTTGAAACGAATAAGAATACGATGTGCCAAGCAATGAGTCATCACTATCTTTAATACAACGTGATAATTTGAGAGACTTAAGATAGAGAGGTAAGAAATCTCTCTTTCTCATTTATCAAGTTTTGGGTGATGATGGTTTTGAAAAGATCTCGAATGTGACTTCAGCTAAGTAAGCATGAGAAAACTTCAAGATAAGAGAGGAGAAAGTCAAATAGGTATGAATTCAAACATTGTAAACCAATTTGTCGGTTTGCATATGAAAGAATGTTAATGAGTTGATTTTTTGATATATTATCTAATGTCATTAACATTTTTAATTGACTAAAAAATGATAAAAAGCTAGAGAATAACAACCATTATTGAACAAAAAAAGAGAAATGAAAACTTCAACAATAATAAAAGCCAATATTAAAGAAGTTCTAAAACAAACATGAGGTCATGCTAATAAGCAAAGATAACTATGAATGATAAGAAAATTCGAAATGAGGATGTGGTAGAAGAAGTTCAAAATTGAGATATGATAAATCTTAAGGTAAGTATTACAACTATGGTAAGTTTGGGCATTATGTTAAAGAATGTAGAACATCCAACAAGAAGAAAAAAAAAAATCAACTATATGGAAGAAAAAAAAAAGATTATGACACTTTACTATAAGCATACAATCGTAATGAAAGAGATGAATATGAAGTATGATTTCTAAAAATCAGTGTAAATATTCCGTATGGGAAAATAAGCATGTTCATAGAGCTTGATGAATCAGGGGGGTTAAAATGTGTCTTTTGGGGATGACTTAAAAATGACTGAACTAGAGTGTGACCACTGATCCACTTTTAAGAAGTAAACCATACCTTTTTGACATGATCGTCAATAAATTTGACATAGTATTAGGAACCTCAATGGACTTAACTAGAGTGGGACCGCATACATTAATTCCAGTTTTTTTTAACTTCACCATTGATCTACTTTTAGAGAAAAAAAATTCTTCTACTTGCCATATATACAATCTTTACAGAAATCCAAATCTTCTAATTTCAAACCCTTAAGTTTATGCTTTGAAAGGAAAAACTTCAAACCTTTCTTACTCATATGACAAAGTCTACGATGCCACAGAACTGCATCCACCTTAAATTCAACCACATAAATGAAATCCAAAATGTCATTGATTAACTAAAGAGTGCCTTCGGTGTTACCGTGAGTCATCAACATTGCCTCCTTAGTCACCTTTCATAAGTCACTTATGAAAGTAGTCAGGAATCCTGATTTTTCCAGTTGGCTCGTAGAGATGAGATTTCTCTTCAGACTTGGAACATGTCTAACTTCAAAAAGATTCCAGACCCTTCCTTTTGACAACTTGATATTCACATCACTCTTTATTACAATATTGTAGATATTGTTTTCAGCCAAATGAATATTTCCTAGATCACTCTGAGTGTAATTTATAATATCTCTTTATTAGGGCATGCATGAAAAGAGGTATCAAAATCTACTATCCAAGTTTTAATACTAACTAGGGATAATACCAAGGAGTCACATTGTATTTCAAATGTGGAGGCATATGTAGAGATATTTCTTTATTGCCCTCCACTATCAGCTTTTCTTATAGCTTTACAGTCTTTCTTAAACTGCTCTTCCTTTCCAAAGTTTTAGTATTCTTCGCTACCATTTCCTCAACTTAACTTAAAATTTCCCTTATAACCTTAAATTTTTCTTGGTTTGTATTTCTATTCATATTTCCTTCTCTATTTTCAACATTCAACACATAGCTTGAAGATTCACTATTCGTTGGATTTCTATGAACTTCTCATTTAGTACCAACTCCACGATGTCGTAAAGTTCATCTTTATATTTCTAGAAAAGTTACCATCATGGTTAAACCATCCCAACAATCGATAATTAATATAATACCAACAATGACTAAAACTCGTTATCAAATTTGATCCCTACATAACAAAATTGACTTGTTATAGTGTTGAAACTATTCAGATGTTTTGAAGTGTCTTCCACCAACTTCAAGTTGAATAATTTTTTCACAAGAAGAATCTAATTTAAAGCAGGAAGTTTTTCATACATCCTTGTTAGTAGCACTATGATATGTATTATAGTTTTCTCATTTACTATATTGAATGAAATAGAAGAGGAAAGTGATAAATGAGTCAAACTTAGGGTTATTTGATCTAGCACCTCCCTTTCTTTTATAGTAATAGACTTAGTCTTCTCAAAGATACATTGTAGTAAAAAAATATCATTTTTTATGATAAGCACATTCACCACTTACATCCTTTATAATGCAAAGTTGGTCCAATTGAACTTCTCCGCTCTGTATCATACATTGTCGGCCATTACTTCTACTCGAATCAAACACTCTGCTATGATACCACTTATTGGGATGAAAATTTTATATACTTTAATTAGGGCTTCGATCAATTAGAAATCAAAATCACACCATAGAATAAAATTCCACTGATTTGAGATCTGGAACAAAAAAAAAAAGATCAAACAGAATCACAATAAAATAATTCCAGAAAAATAAACACCAGATTTAACGCAAAAAAATCTCAAGAAAGGGAAAAAATCATAGAGCCACACCACCAAGAAATTTCAAGCATGAAGAGCCACAAATGTGTAGTCTAATTCACTTAGATATGCTCTCTACAATGAATGGAACTTACAAATTCTTACTCTAAATTCTTTCAAGAGAAAAAGAATGTTGAAATCCTCCTCCTAGAATCTTTTCTCCTTCACGAGAACCCTTGTCAAAAGTATCACATGCGAGAGTGTACCTTCCTTCATAGCTCAAAATCATAAAGTTAAGGATCATAACCGGACCAACCACTCGATGGTGTGGTCATGTCGAGTGTAGGTGTAATTATTTTGCCTACTAGGACAAAACCTCTGCGATGTCGCTATGCTCATTGCAATGTAGTTACACCTCCCGACATAGCTAAGCCAATTTTGAGTGAGGCTATGACAAGCTAATGCATAGGAAATTTTGTGGCTATGAGTTGCTGGTTGTCGTGGGCTTCTTTGGTTTTGAGTGATTTTGGCTCCACAACATAACGTTAAACTTACGGAAACTATGTATAAACAATTCATGATATTCACACAAAAATAAATACTCCTTTTTAATATAAATTTGGTAACTTAATTACTATATTTTTTATCTTAAGAATAAAATTATTTTTTCTTAACATTAAAAATGATATTGCCAAGTTTCACAAAATTTGTTATAAAGTTGCTTATATGCCATGACATTTTCTAGTTAGATACCTAAATTTGGGAGGATTATAGTTACTTCTAAAAAATAAGATGGTGTGAGGACTACATTACATCAGGCACCTTGATCAATCATGTAAATTATGTCTCCTTAAGAAATATTTAAGAAAAAACATTTTAAGGGAATTAAGTTCAAGCTATTAAAAGTCACTTTATACAATACAAACATATGTTTAAAATTTAATAAAGTAAAGCTTACTAGGTAAGTGCATCAATTTTCTTCTTTTCATAAATGATTTTTTAATAAAAATTTTGGTATATTATTTGAAGCAAAAATTAGAGGGTGTATTGAACAACTTTAAAGTTGCAATCTATAGAAAAATAAAGTGAACTTAAGATCAAAGCTATGTATTTTTTATATGCCCAAATGTTTGTGAAGCACCACTAACCCCACAAGCATATGCGTTGTTTAAGTAATATATAGAGTGTTAGATTGTGTATCGATACCAAAAAGAATAGATTAATTATCCATATCAAGAAAAATCTCTAGTATATTGGTTTTGAGTCTAGCTTAAATTGTTCAAGTGGTTGGGGTCTTTCTAAAGTTTCTACTATTATTGTCACAAAAATTAAAAAACCAAAGGTTACTCTGTTAAAACTTTATGTGGTTTTCTATATATCTAGCAAATGAATCTTTGCTAAATTGGATCTCAATTATTCTTGTTTAACTTTGTGATTAAATTATGGTTGGAAACCTGAAACAAAACTCCGCTTTATCCCCTCTCGAGCATCTAAGAAGATTCAAAAATCAAATAGGTTTAGTTTCTTAAATCAAGTGATGGATTGGATCTTATAAATTATGGTTAAAGTATGTGATCAAAATATCGGTGAAAATCAAGAACAAAACTCCTCTTTAGCTCCTCCCGGAGTTCTAAGGAGGTTAAAAAATAAAACAGGTTTAGTCTTCTAAATCAAGTGATTATCTTAGGATCCTATAATTCCTTACACAATCAAACTAACCTAGAAGTAATATCCCTATTATCTCTAGTCAATGTTTGTAACTTAATTTGTTCCACTATGTCCCACACAAGTAGATCACAAAATAAAAGTCAATTAGTTTCAGAAGGTTTATCTACCATCTTTATGCAATTTTAATCGAATCACAATTATACATTAACATAGAATTCCTAAACTGCCAGTTCAAAGGCAAAAAAGAGATTCTAATCTCTACCCAAGCTTTGTATCATAAAAATTATCATTTTATTTAACAAAACACAGTAAATGCAAAAGTTAGAAGGAAATAAATTGATTAAGTATAATAATATTGTTGGATATTTCCTTAACAACACTAGTTGCAACTACTAAAAAAAAATAATAAAAATCTTCATAACTTTAATCAAGAATTCAAGTGAAAGAGTAACATGCATTAAGAGTTCGTCAGATTTTTGTTAGGTAACTGAAATCAAGGTAATTTTAAATTAAATTTTTCAATATGTTGAAAGCAATCCTATAAACTTTGAAGTAGTTATTGACAAAAAAAAAATTGAAATAATTGAAAAAATAACACATGAGAGCTAGCTTCACTTCTCGTAGATCATAATGCAATTGGTATAAAGTATGTGTAGAATGTAAAGAAGAATATTGCAAAAGAATAAGTTGAAAGGCACCAATAATGATTTGTGGCAAACGACATATGATGAAATATTTGCTCGTGCTCAATTAAAAAAATTTTGACTAATTATTTTTCAAAGCTAAAAATAAATGAAAAATATGTCAAAAAAATATAAAATCTATCATATTGAATGGAATCCTAGAAGAAGGGGTATCTATTCAACAACCATTAAGTTTCAATTTAAAAGGATATGAATCAATATTCTAAAGTTAAAAAAGGTTCTTTACAAGTTGAAGAAAGAACCAAGGACACATAATAATCGAATAGATAGTACTTAAAATAAGGCTTCATTAAATGTCTTTAGAAGCATTTTTTTGTATCTCGATGACTTAATTTTTAACAGAAATAATTCAAGCATTTTTATAGAAATCAAACAAGTAATAAGAAAGTGTTTTTAATGATTGATATAGGGCTCTTGCATGACATAATACATGGGAGTCAACCAATTGAAAAATGACATCTTCATCTCATAAAACGATATGCAAATTTAAAAAAAATATTTTAAAAAATAAGATGGATAATTATAGACCCATAAATACTCTTATAGAATGTGGAGTCAAGTAATCAAAATTTAATATGGGAGAAAGAATTAATCCAAGGCATTATAAGAATTTTGTTTGGCTTTTATGCAACATAACATACACAACCTTCATATTCTCTTTGTTGTTGGAATTTGGGTTATTAAGTTGAGGCTCCAATTGTGTCCCATTTCAGGTTGCTAAGAGAAACTTATGTAATATCAATAGTATAATTAATTTTGGCTTGCATTATTTACCATCTAAAAATTTTAAGCTTATAAGATATAGTGTAGTAATTGGATTGGAGACATCATGAATAATAGAAAATTGTACCACAAGCTTTATGTTCTTTGTCATAGGCACCGCTTTTACTTATAAATTAAAGAATCAATTGATTGTCATTGTTTCTACTTACAAAGTAGAGTATGTTGCTGCAACTTCATATATTTATTGTATAATTTGACATCAAAACTTATTCAAAGAATTAAGTTTACCAAAAGAAGGATTAACAAAGACTCGGATTGATATCAATTATGTAATATCCTTAGTCAAGAATCTAGTTTTTTATGATAGAAGCAAGCTTATTGATACACATTATCACTACAATGAATAAATTAGCATAAGAAAAGATTTACAAATTGAGTACTTGAATCCTCAAAACTAACTTGCAGCCATTTTCGCCAAGACACTGAAAAGTGGGGATTTATTTATAACATGATGTTCGCTTGGAGTTGCAAATCTAACTTTAAAAAAAGAATTTGAAATTAAACTTGATTTGTTCCATATGTAGTTGGGTTATAGTTGTCTAAAAATGAATCTATAATCAAGAATGATCTTTAGAAGATTCTAGACACATTCTAGAAGAGTTTTTAAGGGCTTCGAGAGATATAATTTAGAGGAATATTGAAAATACATAGTTTAAATAATTAATGATTTTTGTATAGGAAGCTAGGAGAGAATTCTAGAGAGTCCATAATAGCCATAAAATTCAATTTTATTGGCAAAATCCTAAATGACCGACAGAAGCATAAATAGAAGTGATGTTTTTGAGTTTGTATCAAATAAAAAATAACAAATAAAATTATCACGACTTTCAGAGAGATTGCTCTACCAACGGGCCACGGTACGAGCACTGTTATATATATACAGCTAAAACAAGCATCCTCATCTATGCTGAACAACAATTTTTCATCAGTAACAAAACAATCTTAAAAATATAGTCCCAACGTCCAGAGATCACAAAAAATGCAAAGTTTAGAGATAGTTTAGCAATGCCAAATAGTATTTTTTATATAAAATTTTCATTTAAAAAAAATGTTTTGAATAATATTAGTAAAAAAGTTCATGATGCAAATATGAATAGCCTGGTTCCGTATCTGTGGTCAAAGCTTTGGCAAATGAGGTTGCATCTGGCAATGTGGATTCAATTTTTCATATTGGAGATATAAGCTATGCTACTGGTTTCTTGGTCGAATGGGATTTCTTCCTCAGTTTTATTGCACCACTTGCATCCCATGTGGCTTACATGACAGCCATAGGCAACCATGAGAGGTTAGTAATTATTATTATTACTATTATTATTTCGTTTCTTCCTATTCTCTGCTTATTTCAAAGCATTAAAAGAAACTCTTATTTATAAGTCAAATATATATTTTCTTAATTAGTAAT